GTACATTTGCTGTCATGTTAAGCTTATATTAAAGTTTTTCTTCATTACCCATTTAAGCCGTCTCCAGCCATTATCATCTGATATGTTTTGTTGTTGTCGTTTTTCTTTTATGTTTCAATTACAACTGACTTTATCTACAATAGTAATATATATATTATTGACAGGGTCGAACTCGAGCACAGCACAACCTGGTGTCGTTAGTTGAGTTTGCAATAGCCCTTATGTCTCTGTTGGATCAAATCAACAGGGAGTCCTTTCAACGTTTCAGGCTGCGAGTCGGTAGGTGGCGCTGTTTTCTCAATCTTTTAGAGCATTACTTTGTTGTTGAAATGCTTCAAAACAAAATGAAGTTAATACATATGTACATTGTACAGTTTTTAACTAAACAAATTTATTTATATTTAAATTACAAAAACTCGAAGAAACTATTACAGAAGGATTTATGTATAGATCTAAGTGTGATTTTGAAAGGCACGAAACCTTTTTTCATCATTGCTACGTGATAAGAATCGGTATCTTTAGGTTTAGTACTAACAGTCAAATTAGTATATGCGCATGCGCGGAAAATATACTCACTTAAAGATATGATTGGCTGACTCCTAAGATGTGGAATATTCAGTAAAACTGATGTTATATTGGGTTATATTAACGCTATTCTGACCTATATTATACTGGTGTTTTATGTTAACTTAGTGTGAGTTAACCCGGCTTTTATATATTTTTCATCTCCGTTCGTCTTTCAATAACTTCTTTAGTAAAATATGAAATCTGTTTCCCAATACAAAAGTTTGTCAATAACGTATTTGTATGCTTTCAATGAAGCCAGGCTCTATAGAGGGGAAAAAAAGAAACGCATGTGTACCTTTAACAAATACTGTACATGCGCCAAATCCGTTGCCTTGATTTTAGTATTTCCTAAAAGTCAGTTCTTTGAAAGGAATGTCCCATTTTTTGTGTTGTCTGTTCTATTGAGGAAATAAACAGATTACTCGTGAGGTTAAGCAGTACGTGCAAGAGCGAATAGAACTAAAAGAAATGTCTCGAGGAGTGTAAGGTAATATCGCCGGATTTATTTAGTTGTAAATAGAAGTTAACCAAAGAGATCTAGGATTATCACGGAGTGTTCGTTTCTCGTGGAAACGTGACGTCTTGAAACTTGCTCTAAATATATCACGGAGTGTTCGTTTCTCGTGGAAACGTGACGTCTTGAAACTTGCTCTAAATATATCACGGAGTGTTCGTTTCTCGTGGAAACGTGACGTCTTGAAACTTGTTCTTAATGTCACGGAGTGTTCGTTTCTCGTGGAAACGTGACGTCTTGAAACTTGCTCTAAATATCAAGGAGTGTTATCAAGGAGTGTTCGTTTCTCGTGGAAACGTGACGTCTTGAAACTTGCTCTAAATATCAAGGAGTGTTATCAAGGAGTGTTCGTTTCTCGTGGAAACGTGACGTCTTGAAACTTGCTCTAAATATCA